TGCACACTCTTTGTTCATGAAAATCCGCCATTCCGAAATCGCAGGAGGGTCGGTGTAATGCACTACCAAAACGCCCGTAACTAAGAAACAAATGCTAATTCGATGATGCCGGCTGGCACACTGATTCACTATGAATGTAGGCCGCACCCCCTAGCGGCAGAAGCTCGTACTACATCCGGTTCGCCCTCTAATGACACAGTCTTGAAACTTTCCGATCGCACCTCGTATGTGGTCCACCGTCATCAACAAATCGCGGGGCAGTTAGTCCGAGCTGGGCGCTCCACTTTTAGGCCGATTTCGGAATATTCTGTCAGCAGCCATCATTCCACATTTGACCGAGAGATGTCGTTACATCACGGGCGCCTGAAGATTCCGCCGTAATTGAGGCTGGAACTTCGACGGGGTTTGGTAGGTTTCAATTGGGACTGACTGTAATTTTTATCCGGGCTTTCAGTTTTGACGTATCCCACAGATGAAATGTGACACAAGGTGTGTGTACATTACCCGGCTTGGATTTTAGTAGGTGTTTAGGGAAGGAGACTAACCCTTTCTAAGTTACTCCACGGAGCATAAACACTTTTGTCCCCTTATTTTAATTAACGACGGAGACAGAACCAATCTCCGAAACGTCGTATTATGAGAAGGAACAGGCGATAGATAATGTCCACAATTTTAGCCAAAAATATTTTTGATTTCCTTTTTATAACGAGGATTCGCACTGTGGAGAAGTTGTGCGCAAATTTCGTTTAACCTTTAATTTAAGCTAGTTATTCCCTGACCGAAATCCGATGTACCCATGAATTTTGCAAATATTTTTGGCACGGCTCTGGTCGCTTGCCTAGATGAGGTTTTATTGAGAATCGAAGGTCATAGGTGCAAGCCGGTATCTTCGTTGTCCACGTAATAAGCCATAAGCTTTGTTCGGAAATCAAGGAGAACTGGAATTGATTGATGATAAATAGAACGTGCAGGGTGTGTTTGTGATTACGAGGAAGTGAAAAGTGGGAAATTTAAATATGTAGTGTACGCGCGTCAGTAGGTGAGCGTGGAGTTCCTTTGTCAAGGAGGACTCTATACCATGGATACAGCTAATGTAGACGCTAACAACAGTAAGGGATTTTATTTGCAAGTAACTGAACAAGAATTCAAATGTGTAGGTTCGCCTATTCAGAACTCATTTTCTTTTACATATCACATACAATTGGCCTTGGTGTTTCAGATACAAATCATCGCCCTGATGATGGAGGCAGTATGACCTCTCAAACGTTGGTAAACATCGACCAGACTACACAGCGCAAGAACCCAGAAGACATAAATCTTCATACTCATCGCCCTGATGACGGAGGCAGTATGACCTCTGAAACGTTGGTTAACATCGACCAGACTACACGGCGCAACAACCCAGAAGACAGAAATCTTCATACTCTGATGACGGAGGCAGCATGACCTCTTTAACGTTGGTAAACATCGACCAGACTACACAGCGCAACAACCCA